CCTTCCAATATAGGGTCTAGTCCCAACCTCTAGGTGGTTAGTTCTGACCGAAACCATTTAAATATAGACATAGTGGCTAACACCTGCAATCCCAGCATTTCTGAGGCTGAGGCAAAAGGATTGCTATGAAGTCATGGGCTGAGTTCCATAATGAGTTCTATGCCAGCCTGTGATAAGTGAGAGATGCTATCGCAATAACCCAACTTAAAAAAGAAAGAAAGAATATTATCTTCATTTATTAAGGGCATGGCAATGAGCACACACAAGGCCCAATCGCTCACACACACAGCAAAGGGTCTGGCAGGGAATGGAGAGTGGTCTTCAAACTGGGATTTCCAGCTTGGGTCACAAGCTGACAGTAAACAACTCACTCCTCGATAATCCCTGAACTCCTGATAAAGCTCCTTCAACTGTAGCAGCTTCCCAGACTTCTTCCCAGGTGATGGACAAAATGTATTATGTAGGCATAGGGACATAACTCTTCTGCCATGAGGCCTAGGAATCTGCATTTTCAATCAGACTTCTCAGGTATTTCCTGTGTACACTAAAATATAAGAACTCTATTAAGGAAGAAACCCTTATTTAGTCATGAGTCTTTGAAGGATTTTTATTTATTTATTTATTTGTGTATCTGCTCATGTGTGTGCACACACACGTGTATTTGTACATGTACATGTAGGAGACCAGAGGACAGCTGTAGGTGTTGTTATTCAGGAGTTGTCTACATCTTTTGAGGCAGACTCTCTCATTGGCCCAGAGCTCACTAATTAGGCAAGGTCAGCAGGCCAGCAAGCCATAATTACATCATTTCCCCCATCTACTTTCCTTATATGTCCTTTTCTCTTATGTCCCTTCTCCCCTCTCAAATTCATAGCATTTTTCTTTGATTATATATATGTATATATGGTATGATTACATATTTATATGCATATATATGTGTACAAATACATAAATACAAACTGATGAGTCCCTTTACTGTTGCCTGTACATATATGACTTAAGGGTTGACCATTGATCACTTCTTCTCTGCATTTTAGCCAGTTGTGGGCTTCTATAATGGTTTCTGTCTACTGCAAAGAGAAGTTTCTTTAATGGGAGGTGAGAACTACTTTTATCTGTGCACGTTAAGTATCTAGAATGAATGGAGTTAGGAATGATGCTGGCTTAGCAAAGCGTTGGTGGTAGGTTCTCCTCTAAGATCCATGACTTCAGTAGCCCTTGGGTAGTTGCCTGGGTTTTTGGTGCCAGGCATGATTTCCCTCCTGTTGAGCAGGCCATAAATCCAATTAGAGTGACAAGATACACAAGTAACACTATTGCACCATTAGGGATATCATGCTAGGCTGGTCATTGTTATGGCTCATCCCCAGCTTTTTCACATGGGTTTTAGGGATCAAATTCTCACTTCCTCATGCATTGAGGGCAATTAAGCCACCTCCTGGGCTGGATTTATTATGTTTTTTAAATGAAAAATCAGACTCTTGAAGTTTCTCAGAGCAGAAAAGACCAAAGACAAGGAGCAGAGAAGGGGAGAGAGGAAAGAGTGATAGAAAGAAAACAGATATGATCAACTCTCACACTCAGGGAGGCACTCACCTGGGAGTCCCAGGACTCTTTCCTTTGGAAATGCAGCTTCCAGTGGTGACCCTGAAAGATGGACTGGCCGGCCAGGTGTCATGACAGTACTAATGCCCTTGAGCATCCACAGCTGTGCTTGAGCATCAAAGTCAGCGCTCAGTATGGCACCTCCACTGTATGATTAACTAGGGAGAACCTTGCCCGGCAGCCTGACCAGACCTCCTGTCTATCCCTAAGCTGTCAGTCTCTGTCTTATTTGGGTTTCTATTGCTGTGTAAAGACACCATGACCACAGCAACTCCTATAAGGAAAACATTTAATTGAGGGGGCTTGCTTATAGTTTCAGAGGTTCAGTCCAATATCATCATGGAGGGGAACATGGCAGCGTGTAGGCAGATGTGGTCCTGGAAGAGTAGCTGAAAGTCCTATATCTTCCAGGCAACAGGAAGCTGACGGAGACAATGGGTAGTATCCTGAGCGCGGATACTACCACAGTGGCTCATTTCCTCCAGCTAGGACATACCCATTCCAGCAAATGGTGGAATACCTCCTAATAGTGCCACTCCCTATGAGATTATGGGGGTGAATAACATTCAAACTACCACAGTATCTTTCTGAAACCCTTCAGATTCCAATGTTTCATGGAACATGAACAATAGTGCATTCAATTCAGACTCACCACCTACTTACCCTATGAACATGAAAAGCCTCTGCTCTTTTCCTCCGCCCCCACTCAGCTGTATGGGGGCACCAGCATGTCCTCTCTCCTATATTTCTATTTGCATATGTAGTGCAGTGTGACAGCCTATTGATAATACTTTTGCATTACAGGCTGGGAGAATTAAAAGATATGGTGGCTTGATAGTGGGAATTCTATGAATATCTGATGCTATTTGGAAGGTCCACTGGCTTTTAGCAGCATCAGTTTGGAGTGGGCTGTGTGGATACTGCTTTGCAGTTGCTTATGGCTTCGTAGCCCCAAACCATGCCATATAAGCAGAATTCCAGTTTATTGTGTTGAGAGTGAAACTGCTGCTCTCTATTTCTGCATACCTAGCCTTGGAGGGAAAAAAAAGTGTGCTAGAGCCAGGAGGAAACTGGAGTCATTGGTTTAATAGACACAACTGAGTATCACTGTCCAATGGTTCAGATTCCATTTAATTGAGAACATTTTCATCTGATTTTGTTACCATCTAGAATGACACAGATTTGTATGCTCTGATTACACCCTCCCAAATGATGCTACTCCCTAATCTGCTGCATTGGAGAATCACAAATCTCTCAGTGACAGGCAGCACACTAGGGCTGTTACTGCTGGTTAGTGTACAAAGGTCACAACACACAATGACCATAGTTTCTAAGAGAATTTGGGTCAAAAGAGAATAAATTTACCTGTTTATGTTTTTTGCCTTCTCTTTATTTTGTTGATTTATAAAACAATATTTAGTTATTATAAGCAATCAAGAAAAATGGAAATTCATGGTTACTACCCTGGAATAACTTGGTGATATGAAGCACTCCAGAGTCCTGCCTCACAAAGCTCATGGAAGCACTCGGGTGAAATGTTTAGTTATAAATAGTCATTTAACTTCACCATGTGTCAAACTTTTAAACATATTGAATGCTATTAACGTTGTTAGAATTCCAGTTCTGCTGAAAGTAATCACCAGTGCAGGTGTCTGTGGTTGACTCCTGGCTCACCTCAAGGGTGATGAGCCAGCAGGGAATATGTTTTAGGGAAAGGCTATGGCCTTGGGCATTCTGCTTTACTACCTGATAATAAATGGCTTTCAGTTGATAAAAAAATACTGAAATCTGACATATGTATGAAATTGATTCAAATTTAATAAACACATCCCCAGAGGAAATAACCATGTTTATTAGCTTAGGACAAGTCACCAAGTTGAAATAGCCTTTTTCTACGGTCCTGGCTAAGGTGTCATAACTGTTCCCCAGTTAAACTCCAGCAAGGAAAGAGAGGCAATCATAAGGAAAAACTTTGGACCATTTTAGTCTAAGTTAGAGCTAAGATTGCCACAGATATTCTAGGCAAGCTGTCATCTACACAGTAAGTGTGACTGCCTCGCTAGTAAAATGTGATGTGTTGATGACTGTTAGATTACATCTAACATCCCATTTACTGGCAATAGAGGAGTTCACTTAAGGCTTTTGCCTGATGTCTCCTGGTGCTTGATAGGGCGTTGTGTGATATTATCAATTTTCGCTTCAGGCCTGTTCCCATGCAACGGGGGAAGACTTCACAGGAATTTGCACATTTGATCTAGGGTGAATGATGCCGTTTTCATAGCAAAACAACTTTTCCCTGGCAGTAAATGATAGGTGCTTCTACACCTAAAGAAATGCATTTTGTTTTCATAGAATCTTGTAAAAAATGTTTATTTTCTTTATGGCGATTGTGATCAAGTCATTTAATTGCAAGGAAAGACCCAGTTGGTGGGAGTCCTGCTGGTTAACTGTCCAGCCGTGGGCAAGTTCCCTAACCTTTCTCATTTTCTCTCAGGTTTGTTAGCAAAATAAGAAGAAAGAAAAACAAAGTAAACATGCCATGTGGCATTGCCTCCTCCGCTGCACAAAACTGCCCTGGACCACCTTTGCTTCTGTAATATCACAAGATAAAATGAACTGCTGCTCATCTAACACGTGAGATTTCACCACCATGGTGTCCAAAGGCAGCAGGGATCTGTTCATGCACCCCTACTGATTTGCAGACTGGGAATAAATGCCAGGCCTTTTGCAGCAGTTACCGAGAGTCCCCTTCAGTAGAAATAATACATTGCCTTCCTGTTATCAGTTCAAGTGGAGGATTGAGGTGGGAACCTGGCTGTGCTGTTCTGTTCTGTGTGTGTACTCCTAGTCAGGCTGCCATTTACATTGTGGCAGAACTGTGAGTAGTAAGGACGAAGTCGGGGAGGAGGGCCGGTTCCCTGAAGCATCCCACAAGCAACAGAACCAAATGCATGCCTGGCGCTGACATCACCATTTGTTTTCTAAAAGTTCTTTTTTCTTCCCAGGAACAAATTAACAGGTCAATTCCTCTTGTCCTGTGGAGGTGACATTGGGACTTGAGACTCACACATTCACACCCTTCTTCCTTCTATGAATTTTCTTTGAAACACTGCATTCTTACCCTTCCTCTATTTTTGTACTAAGGACATAGTCTATGACTTCTTATTACCCATCATTTACTGTAACCGCCACATTCATTCTCCTGCATGACATCTGTGTCCTGAGAGAGACCTGAAAAATTGAAGAAAAATTGGAGAAGAAATGACCGGTTTCTGTGTATTTGATAGTCACCTGTTTAATTGGGTATGTGAGGGATTTTTAACAGAAACTCAAAAATCAGAGAAATGGAGCCAGAAAATGCCATTTGAAGTCAAATTTAGGGTTCAGTGGCCAAAGAGTCATTTTTATTATCAATTTCCTATCTATATACATACACAACAAACATACACATATGTATGTCCCTTGATCCTTCTAAATTACTTTTCAATAACTAGGAGTTGTGCTTTTATTTTCTGGAAGAAAGTTCACCTAAGATGGTCATCGTACTTGCATTATTTGTCTGGTTTTGTTGCCTTTCCAGGAACAGACTTCAGGCATCCAATGCTACTTCACATAAAATGTGGACACTAACAACCTTTAAAAGAGACTGTTTGAGGGAGCTGGAGGCATAGCTCAGCAGCACGCTGCTCAAGTGTATGTTCAACAACTAGGTTCAAATCTCAATGCTGGGGTTGGGACTAAAAGAGAGACTGTGTACAAGTTGAAAGGGATAAAGAATTATCATGCCATAACCAGCATATTCGACTGTACACATAGCTATATCCATAAAATACAGCACAAGATATGAAGTTCCAGCTGAAATTATTTGTGTAGCTGCATGAGAGATAGCAACTTCATGGAGGGTGACAGAACAATGTCTGTTGCTTCAGGGCCCTGCTGCCTTCGGATTCTGGCATAATTTGCTTTGACTTCCATCAGTTGCTTTTTTTCTGTTGAAAGAAAATCACATACATACTCAGAGACAGGTCAATGTATTTATAGAACTAAATTATAGAATTAAAGTGTGGGGTGATGAGGGCAGTGGAGCTTCCTCAGCAATCCTTGCTCCCACCCTGCCTTCTCAGCTCTTGCTGTGCTCACACCATCAGTTCATGCTGCCATTCTTTCAATGTGCATGCTCCCCATGTGCTGGAGAGAACTTCCTTCCAAAGAGCATAACATCTGAAAGGAAGCTAATGTAGGAGTGTGCTGAAAAGACCAAGGCCACTGCAAAGATGGAAACCAGAGCACTGAGAACCACATTCAAGCTTTACTGCAAAGGACAGGAAGCATTCTTAATTGTGGTGAGGATGTGAGAAAGTGATGCTGTTCTGAAAGCTTCTCATTGGTTTTGCCAAATGAAATTCATTTTTAAAAAAATCAACATAATACATCTGCCTGATAAATGATTTCTGTTTTATTGTGTATGAAATAAATAATCATCATGTTGTGAGATTCTGAGAATGTCCTATTTTCTTTTTCTTTTTTTTTTTTTTTTTTTTTTTTTTTTTTTTGGAACAAGTTTTCTTCAAGGTTTTGGGGGGTAAGCTGGCCTCGAACTCATAGAGATCCACCTGCCTCTGCCTCCCGAATGCTGGGATTAAAGGCATGCGCCGCCAACGCCCGGCAAATACCCTATTTTCTTACACATCCTCTACCTGGTATGTCACAGAAAAAAATCACACGTGGAATGATTAATTAGCTAAACATCTCATAATGGATAAATACATTCAAAAGCATTTCTCCTCATTTTTAAAGTATTTGGAAAATGTAGATTGCTAATAGATGATTATTTTTCTTTTACTCCATGAAAACAACAAAATGGCATCAACAAAATCAGGTTTAAAGAAATAATTAAATTTGATTCTGTGACAATCATATTTCCTAGATCAGACATGACTCCCTGGAAAGAATTAAAGCAACTGGGAGAAACTCCAAACCCTCCACCGTTAAGGTTGACATAGACAGTCTACTTCCACAGGACTTCACAGAAATGTGTGTTTATAAAACAGAAGATTTAAAAATGATGAATGTTTGTCTGCACAGACTTGTAGACATACTTAGCAAATCAAAAAAAAAAAAATGATAGGGAGAGAACTACTTGAATTTCGACTTTTCTCCACCACCTCACAGATTTGAGGAAAGATTTGACTGGGAATTTACTTGCTCCTGGGAAGGCAATCCAGATTTTGCTTTGTGACTTGGATACCCTTTGTGACAGCTTTCCTGTGGCAGACATAGCTTTATTCAGTCAGACCCAGTGAGCTCTATGTGGCAAGGAGGCTCATGCCAAGCTTATGAAAGACCGAGCAGTGTGAGCAGGAGGGAACTGTGCCAGAGTCTCCTGCTGCAGCGCCTGCCAGCCTGCCCAGTTTGCTTACTTTCCATTGACTGTGACCATCTAAGGGCTCTCACTGTGATGGTTGACATTGAGGGACACTGTCTAGATCTAGATGACAAGATCTAGAATCTCCTAGGAGACAAATTTCTGGGTATGTCTTTGACAGAGTCTCTTGACTTGGTTATGTGAGACAGGAAGACCTATCTGAAATGTGGCGCACACCTATGGGCTGGGTGGGGATTTGGACCCAATAAAAGAGAAAGTAGACTGAGCATCTGCTTTCATGACTCTCTGCTGCAGGTGCAATGTGACCTGCAATCTCTTTTTGGTTCAGGGCATCCTCTGCCATGATGGGCTGTACCCCCATGCATTTGGTCACAGCAATAAGAAAAGTAACTAGTGCATTTATATTCACAAATATTTCCTCTCAGAAAAGGAAGTCTTGTGTATATTCAATGTATAGGATGTATACTTTGAGAATATAGAAAGCTGTTAACCAACATTTACAAATGGCAACAACTTTATCGTTTTTGAGCTGAGATCCAAGCAGTGATGGAGAGGGAGATAACAGAACACAAAGAATACAAAAACCTTGTCCATAAGGAAGGATGGTGCTGTGGGAGGCTTTGTGCAATCCCTCCTAACAGTGCTAGATATCCCAATAAATCTGTGTCTCCCCACTTGTTGACAAGCAATTCTATACTTTGGTCTCTTCTGAGCTAAATGAGAGGGTATATCTCCATCTGTCTTAAAACCTTTCCATTCACCTACCTTATATATTACATAGTAATAATGTTATGGTGCATTTCTAAAAGAAAAAAAAAGGAGCTGCAGCATTATAGGGATATCAAGTAATTTTCTTCCTAATCTTTTCATTTGTTTTGTGTAAAAACAATGTATTTTGGAATTTCCTGAAAATTATATTTTGCTAGCATCTACCTTTCTACAGAAAGGGGCTTTAAATTCTTCAGGATAAGGAGAATAAAAGACTAGAGTACATTTCATAAACATGTCCTTTCCATTTCTGTTGCTTATCAAAGGAAATAATTAGGAAATAGCGAGTTTATTAAAACTAGCATATACTTACTTTTGCAACATAATGGAAATCTTCAAGCTGAAAAATACTATAAATAAAGCATTGTTTTGAATAACCCAAATAGTAAGAAGTCAACAGCAACTTCATTTACCATGTGTAACTAAGGAAATGCCTTCAAACGCATGTATCAATATTTCTGTAAATAGGCCTGGGTAAGGCCCAAGACTCACTGAAATTTGGTTGACTTCCTTAGAGTAAAGCATGCTAGCAATGGTTTTCCTCAAACACACAGATCTAAACTTCACTTTCATAGCATGGAATAGCACAGCATGAGGAGTGTAATTGCTAAAAATCATCCTGTGTTCAAAGTTCAGCAGGCAAAGACTCTGCAGAGAAGAAAGACTAAATGCTTTAATTCCTCAAGACCTTGATAAAAGAGGAGGTGTTACCCTAACCTTTTGAAGTCATAAAGCCATGTCCTGAAGACACACAAACAGTCATATCCCTCTCTATGGTGTCCCATGACTGAATGAGCTCCCCATTTGAGGTGAACAGGGCTTTGGCCGGGTGGGACATTTTCAGACGAGCAGTGCAGTCATCCAGCAACTGAAACACAAAAGGACAGCCATATTTGAATGACAAATGTCTCACATTAGTTATTAAAGCTTTTTTTTTTTTTTGAGATGAGGCTTCTTGTAACTATGAAGGCCTCAAACTCACTATGTAGTTGAAGATGACCTTGAACTTCTGATCCCCCTTCTTTTAACTCTCCAGTGCTGGAATTATAGGTGTGCACCACTAGGCTGGGTTTATGTGTTAGTAATCTCAGGGTTTCAAGCACGCTACCAATGGAACTATATTTCAATACTCTAAAGCAGTGTTCTCAACCTTCCTAATGCTGCAACGCTTTAATACAGTTCCTTATGCTGTGCTGACCCAAACCATACCATTATTTCACTGCTACTTCATAACTGTAGTTTTACTCCTGTTATGAATTTTAATATAGATATCTGATATACAGGATATCTGATATATATGACCCCCAGGTTGAGAACCACTGCTCTAAGGCAATGCTTTTGACAGAGTCCTATCCCTACTTAAATATTCATTCGTTACACTTGTTGGACACAGGTAAGAGGGGTAGCAAGAAAGGCACACAGTGAGAGTCTACCCATGTGCTTGAACATGAGGGAACTTCAGCGGTCCTTAGTTTCCTTGTAGGCCTGATTTTTCCACAGATGGAGGCATCTTGGTGTCTAACAAATTTCTAAACACAATACACCTTGGATTAGGAATCTAGACATGGCAAAAGAGCTTCATTATTTTTCTTAATGATCAAAGAAATAGAAATACAGATGGTGAGGAAACCCAGACTCTGTCCTTTGTTTCACAAACAGAAAAGTCTGGGAAATTGATAGAGGCTTTATATTTTATCAGTTAAAATACTTAATAAACATAGACTTAAAGAATGAGAGAAATCCTAGTACAGAACTTATTTTGTAATTGAGAAGACATTCATAGTAGGTTCCAGAGTTAAGAGTCAGCTCTTCCCAGTAGGTAAGAAAAATCATACAAATGCTTATTGTTTTATTCTTAAGAAGCTTTGGTCAATCAAATAATAAATAATTCAATAATAAAAATAAGAGCATTTACAGAGCGAGTTCCAGGATAGGCTCCAAAGCTACACAGAGAAACCCTGTCTCAAAAAAAACAAAAAAGAAAAATGAAAAAAAAGAGCATTTAATGAAGAGATACGTAAATGTTAGAGCATTAAGAGTTTCTCTGTTTACTAAAATTAGACATTCATAAAATACAGTGGAAGATAATTTATCCCCCAAACAAAATCATTATTTTAAAAATGTAAGTTCCCATCCAAGTACTAACCAGGCCCCACCCTCCTTAGCTTCCACGATCAGATGAGATTGGGCAGGTTCAGGGTGGTATGGCCGTAGACCAACTAATGATATAAGCAACAGATGCCCTCCTCTGATAATGAGGTTGAAGACTAACTTATATCCCATCCTATAGCCTTCAACCAGCTGGTGGAAGTAGAAGCAGACACCCACAGCTAAACACTGAACTGATCTGTAATCCAGTTGCAGAGAAGGAGGAGTGATGAGCAAAGGGGTCTGTACCAGGCTAGTGGAACCCACAGAAACAGCTGACCTGAACAAGGGAGAGCTCTTGGTCCCCAGACTGATAGCTGGGAAAACAGCATGGGACTGATACAGACCTCATGAATGTGGGTGTCAGTGAGGAGGGGATGGGTCTAGGTTCTAGCCCAAAGGATAGGACAGACCCAGAAGACCCCCTATGGAAGGCCTCAGCCCCCTTGGGGAGCAGAAAGGGTATGAGATAGGTAGGGTGTTAGTTGGGGGAGGCAGGGGAGGAGGGATGGAGAGGGAATTGGAATTGACATGTAAAACAATCTTGTTTCTAATTCAAATAAAAAAATTCAAAGAAATGTAAGCTCCTTATATGAAAACTATACAGTATTCCTGATGGACCAAAAATCTAATTCCATGCACATAAGACCGCCACAAGTCTGGTTGTGAAAAGTGAATATCACAAAAGCTGTCAATTTTCATGAAGTAAATTAATAGTCATATACAGCTGCAGTCAAAACACCTGTGTGATGATTTTATGGGGTTGAAAGTAATTCCATAATTTGTTTACAGTGTTCAATAAACAATAATTCTGAAGTAAAATTATGATAGCTCAATGAAATAGTGAGTAACTGTCACTTTCAGGTAGCAAACTACGTTATAAAGTGATGACAGTTTTAAAAGCATTGGGTACTGCACCTCACTTAGCAGGGTGAGTGCTATGCAAGAGTACAGTGCATTCTAAAATGGTATTGCAGCTCCACAGGGGGACGAAAGGCTAGTCAGTAGCAAAGTTGAGAGAGTCATCTTGAGCCAGCAGAGAAGAAAATATTTTCACTTAAAATTTTCACCAGAAAAAAATCCACATCGCTGTTAAAAGGAAAAAACCCACAATCAGAAAAATTTAGAAGAAAGATCATTGGATCTTGATATTACCTTGGTGTAATGAGGGATTATCTAAAACATTAAAAGCAACAAATAAGCGTATCATTGTTTACTTCTTGTATGTTTAAAAAATTCACTGACAAGTGGAAAGTTGGAAGCATGCCACCGCAGGTCTGACAATCACATGAAACAGCAGAAAGGGACATCTGTCACCAATATACAAAATTTACCCAACAGCAAAACCATGCAGAATTTCACAAGAATCCTTGAGAACTCCTGATGTTATATTGTTCTTCAGAATAAAATGCTCTGAATGAAGATACAAAACCTGTCAATCTTCTCTGTATAGGTCACTGAAGACAAATAAGCTACATGAGCCTCTACCATCTCTCTTCATCCTGTGTGCATCTAAATCACAGCATTTAGCCTCAGAGCTCCCGTTGACTTGTAAAGACTGGGACACAGACACTTGCACTGTCCCTACAGGATACTCTAGCAATATGAGTGCAAATGCTCAAACATGGTTATACGAATTGGAGTTACCAAACAAAAACAGAAAATAAATACAAATTTATATATCATTATTCCTCACAACAATAAAAATCCTAAGACAACCCAGTTGGCAATTGATAGAAAATTGGGTAAATAAATGTATATGTAGGGTAGGTTAGTATGATGTTACCAGAAATACTGTGTTATTTTTAAGACTGTTAAGTTATATGAGGAAACATCACAGCCATTTCGTAGGTGAGCAGAGCAACTTTCAAAACTGACTTGCCACAGGACTTACTATGATCACAATGGCCAAGAACAGACATCTTTGTGAGTAACTGCATCTCTATTTCCTTATTGATGCTCTTAGTTTTCCCACTGACTTTATACCATTATTGGTTTTTCATAATTAGAAAACAGAATAAAAGTTATCAAGAAATTCATGTTGATTATTATAGAAGTGTAACTGTAATAGATCCATACGGTGTGGTGTGTGTGTGTGTGGTGTGTGTGTGTGTGTGTGTGTGTGTGTGTGTGTGAGAGAGAGAGGAGAGACAGAGAGAGAGAGAGAGAGAGAGAGAGAGAGGAGAGAGATTTTTCTAAATTTTCTATAATTTTCACTACTTAACTTCTAAAGGTGTCAAACCAATACCAGAGGTGAGCTGGGTTAAACAGTAGACCATTTCTGCTGTTCTGGAGGATGCAGAATACCAAGTCAAGGAACTGATTAGATAAATTCCTGGTCTCACTGGATGGTGGTGGCACATGTCTTTAATCCCAGCACTTGGGAGGCAGAGGCAGGCGGATCTCTGTGAGTTTGAGACCAGCATGGTCTACAAGAGCTAGTTCCAAGACAGCCTCCAAAGCCACAGTCTCGAAAACCAAAATAAATAGATAGATTAAATAAATAAGTAAATAAATAAATAAATAAATAAATTCCTAGAGAGTCTCTTCCTATTTGCAGATGGGTGCTTTGTTGCTGTGTCCCCAAATAGGAGAGAGAGAAAGAGGAGGAGCAGGAGTAGGAGGAATGAGGGAAGGAAGGAGATAGCTTTGGTGTGTGTGGTGTGTGTGTTCATGCATATGTGTGTGTGTAAGTGCACATAGGTGTCCATGTGGGGAGACTAGAGGTCAACCTTGGATGCAATCTGTCACTTCCAGCCTTGCCTTCTTTTTAAACATTACTTTTATTATTGATTCTTTGGGAACTTCACATCATGGACCCCAATTCCACTCATTTCCCAGCTCTTCCTCCACCCTGATAGTCTCCCCATCAAAAAGAAAATTTAAAAAAAAGAAAAAGGAAAACATTTCACTTCTCTGTCTTTCCTACCTCTCTATAACATGCATATTCATTTGTCATAGCGGCCTTGGGAGCTGCAGAGTGTCATGTAGAATATGCTCAAACATAAACTTGCAAATGTTCACTGCAGTGAATTGTTGACATGGTTCAAGGCCTCTGGCTTCTGGTATAGCATTGGATTCTGGCACACCATCAATACTGGACCCTCACCAAAACTTCTCTGGGACGTCCTGTTGTTGCTCTGAATCCTGAAGATCCTGCCCGAGGCTATGGCTCACATGCTCCAGCAGGTCATAGATGCTGGAGTGTGCTGGAGTGTGCCAACTCAAAGCCCTGGATGTGGGTCTGAATGGTAGCTGAGTTGATTAGTCCAGGCCTCCACAGGACTGCCCACCTCAGGCAAGGGACAGGTCCAGCTCTCCCATGCCCACACCTTGAGGGCCAGCTCTCTTGCACTCATGGTGAGGGATGGGACCAGCTCTTCCTTATGGCAGCCAGTGAGGTGGAGAGGGGGACAGTTCTCTCAGGGTCACTGAAGGTCAGGGCCAGTTCTCCTATGCCCACACCATAAGGACAGGTTCTGGTAGGGGGGCAGCTCTCCCACTGAGGCAACTGGTGAGGGACAGGACCAGTTCTCCCATGCCAAGAGCACCATGGCCAGCTCTCCCATGGTCTACTGTGATGATCCTGACATCACTGGTGGCCACTGACATCAACACAGACCAAAACTGCTGTAGGACCACAGACACAGATATGGTCCTTGGCCACAACACTGGCACCCAGAGTGGCCCTGGGTGGCAGCCCAGGCCACTCAGATTGGT